GGCCCCGCTGTGGATATATCTGCCCCTATGCCCCCTCCACCGCCCCCCATGGCTCCTCCACTTCCAGGCTGCGGCTCTCCCACCGTCATCATGAACTCAGGACTGGCAGGTAATGAAACCTGCTCGACACTAAAGACAAAACCATAACAATCATATACAGTCATTCTCACACGCTCAAACTACAGTCTACCAAACAGTATCTTAACCACTTAACCATCTTATCCACTATCTTAAGAAGCCTGAAGTATGCTTTAGTTTGCGTTTAAAGTTCACGTATAAAGTGCTATATAAATAAAGGTGACTTGACTTGACACGCATGCGGATCTCTGGAGTCTCCCCTCATAGACCACTGATAACGATCATAACAGCACAACTGTTTGTCAGGTTTCCTGTAAAAGGTTTAATGTCTGAACAAGCTCAAGAGAAACATGTCTGCTGAAGCCTGAGTCATAATCTCTTTGACTGTACAGTAGATCAGATAGAACAATAACATCAGATAAAAAAATAAATGGTAGTCATTTTCATCAACTAATTTATCAATCCGTTTTATTCTCTATGTAGTATGCATACAGTTTCATATTGATTTTAATGGAGCAAACATTGATGTCCATTAAACAAGAGGTAATAGTTAGTTTCATAAATAGATGGAGGCTTTCAGGAGCAATATTGCAGAATATGCTCATACAAATTTGGATACTTCCTATAAACCTATGCAAATTCTCATTGCTGCTCAAGAAACATTTATTATTAATGTTGAAAACAATTATGCTGCTTAATATTTTTCAGGAAACTGATATTTTGATAAAGTTAAAATTAACTGCATTTATTTATTTTTTTGCAACATTATAAAAACATTTGCTGTCACTTTTGATCAATTCAATGCATCCTTGCTGAATAAAATACTCATTTATTTTAGAAAACAAATACTGACCCCAAACGGTAGTCTACGTACTGTACATACTGCAGAGTGCACCGTGAATCTGAACAACCTTTTTTTTTTTTTTTAATTAAAGTCTTCAGCTGCTTTTTATTATTTTAAAAACTGTGCTTTACATCACAGTTTGTTGGTAACTTCTCTCTTAAATGGATCTTTATCATTCCTTATGAAACAATCTGTATTTAGGATTCAGTGGTAATGCACTCTGTAGGAAAAGGCCAATCAGATCTTTGGAATCAGAGGTTGAGTTTTGTTTGCTCTTTAACTTCTTTCTCTCTGCTTATTTTTGCTCTACCTGTTGCGCCGCCATAGAGGGACCCATCAAACTGTACTGTAGGTTTTCTGTGTCATGCCGTGTGTGCTCAGTCTTATGTGTGTGTGTGTGTGTGTGTGTGTGTGTGTGTGTGCGTGTGTGTGTGCGCGTTTTTGTGACATATGAGGACATAAATTTGTATAATGACAAAGGTATGACATAGGTATTACAAGGAGAAGGTGACTTTTCAGGACATTACCCCATGTCCCCACTTTTCAAAACGCATATAAATCACACAGAATGGAGTGTATTGAAAATCTGAAATAGCACAAAGTTTCCTGTGAGGGGTAGGTTTAGGGGTAGGGTTGGTGTAGGACAATAGAATATACGGTCTGTACAGTGCGTGTGTGTGGGCATGGTATTTGAGTCTCTAAGAAAACACACTCGGTTCCTCTGTAATCTTGATCTGACAATGACTACGAAGCTGCATTGCTGGTTGTTCCTCTTGAAACTGAGCATGAAATCAGACGCTGTTTTACAGAACTTTTGCTTAGCGTTTAAAAACCAGAGAGGAACATTCTTTAGACCTTGCTTACAGAGGTCAGCAAATAACAGGACTCTAATGCCAACCAATGAGACCACATGTTCCATGAGACGTAAGCTCTTATTTCTACACTCCACAGTGGACAAAATCCCTCTTTCCAGAGCTCAAGCCATGAACCGCAACCTCATGGAAAACAAAACTACAATTCACATGGACTCCAGATCTATTTGTCATTAGGTTGCCATTAAGAACTGCAGAACTCCAGTAAACACAAACAGGTCTAGCAGTCCAGTGCAGTTTCAACTCGCAACATAAATACTTACTGCATGGTTTAGCATCTGAAAATGAAGATGTAAATAGTAGTATTGTAATTTTAAAGTTGTACTATACAATTTATATTATTTTATTAATCACTCATTGCTTATTTTATAGTACAATATAATTATTACAGTATTTTTATTTTTGTTGTGCTTAATATTTTTATTCAATAATAATCACAATAAAAATTATAATTATTTTCCCCGAATTGTTCATCCCTAAAAGGATGTTTTGCACGCAACAGTCTTCAAAGTATAAAGTTGTTATACGATAAAGCTTAAATTTATGAAATTACTTTTGATCAACTAGTGTCAAATGACTACATTCAACATTGTATTGTCCCTTTAAATAAATGAATGTGCATCGTAAGGAAGTAAGACTAAAAATGCCATGCCCGCTGTGTGAGTAAGTGATTGATTGTGTTGTGTTTGCATGTTGAAACAGTGTACCGTGCCGTTACAGGCGATTGATCGTCAGATAAGGCGATAGTTGCGTAAATTCAGGAATGTTTAACACACACTGAGAGTTTATTCTCTTTGCTCTGGCCACACTTTCTGCATGGCCTCATATCACACCATCACCCATAACCCTCAACTGAAAACTGCTCTCATTCTCTCTTCGTAACCTTTGACCAGAGATCAATATTGTTGGATTTTGATTCAGCCTTAATCAAGCATGTTGAAATCTGTATTTGCTGTGAGTCAGATTCAGTCTTTAAGTGGATTATTTTGGAAGTTTTTGACTCATTCTCCTACTGAGACGCTGTTTGAGTCACATCCTCATATGTAAACCCAAGAACAGCCATGAGCGTCTGTCTCATTGCCTAAACACACGGGACAATGATATTGCTCAGAGGTGCTCTTTCATAGTTTACGATTAAGTTTTGAGTCACGTTTCATCAATTTTGCCTAGTGTTTCTCCTAGTATTTATATAAATCAAAATAAACACAAATTTAACATATATAGAGCCATAAAATGAATATGAAAAGCTCAGATCATTCTCTTGGACGTATCTGATATCTTGACAAATCTGAGCGCGGTTTGAGACATTGTTGAGATCTTATTTGAAACTCTAGCGGAGACACATGAGATGTCCTTTTCTCAAGAGAAACATCTGAGAAGTGTCTCTATCTAAGCAAGTCTCCATTTACTCGCTATTCAATTCCAATGCTCTCAAAGAGAAACAGTTGAGACATTGGTGAGATCCCTTTCGTGCTTTAGCTTTTCTCTGTAATTCTCAGTCTCTCATTATCATAATGAGTGATTTATGTGTGATTTAGGATCAGAATATCCTGCCAACACAATCACATTGATCAGGATATGAGAGACTAGAGCTCTTTTAGGCTGAGAGTGTTCATGCTGACAGTATCAAAGGTCTCATGTTCACACATTTCCCCCTCACGTACCCTCACAAATGTGCACTGGACACGCTCAGATCTGTGCCTGCTGTTCACAAACCAGCTCCACATCACTCAGTAGACCAGACTGGATGTTTATTGTCCTGATGTTGTTGACATGTGCTTTCTGTCGTGTTGTATAGCTGTGAAGATCAAGAAACCCATCAAGACTAAGTTCCGGATGCCGGTGTTTAACTGGGTGGCACTGAAACCCAATCAGATCAACGGCACTGTGTTCAACGAGATCGATGACGAAAGAATACTGGAGGTGAGAGAGACTTGAAAACTTTGAAAAACGTTTTGAAACTTGACAAGATCATTTGTTTTCTTACAGCACAAAAGAAAGCAAAAGCATCAGCTAATTAAATGTGTCGCTAACTACACATTACATACAATAACTTGTATCATAAAAATAATTAATAAACTTAACATTAAACATTTATGAAACAAACATTGATGAAACAGCAATTTTGACAGCAGTCATTTTTGTGATGTACAGTATTTGATGCGATATGAAGGCATTAAATCAGAGGACCTCAGATGATGCCAACCCTGAAACAACATACAGAACTACCAAATGTTGCTATAAGTTTGATTGCATCATATAATAATTGCTGTTAATAGTGTTCATCGTCTGTTTGATCACGTCTTTAATTGATTTTTCCGTACATTTCTGCCATATGTACATAAACTGACAGTCACCACTGATAAGCTACTTCTAAATATTGTAGAAACTTAATTTTCTGTAAAGTTGCTTTGCAACGATTTGTATCGTGAAAAGCGCTATACAAATAAACTTGAATTGAATGGAATTAAATTGCATTCCTTTCATAATTCATGCATAATACGTTGCAGAGGTTATAATTATGAAAATGGTGCATTGCATTGTGTACTCTGATGCATAAATGCATTTAATACATTTATATACAGTACAGTCCCATTCAGAAGTTTTTGTTTGTTCTTTGAAAGAAGCTTTTTCATCAAAGATGCATAGAATTGATCAAAAGTGACAGTAAAGTCGTTTACAAAATAAATTTCAAATAAATGCTGTTCTTTTGAAATTTCTGGTCATCAAAGAATCCTAAAAAAAGGAATGCATGACATTTAAAATATTGTAAAAAAACAAAAACAAATTATAATAGAAAACATTCATTTTGAACTGTAATAATGTTCCACCACATTATTTTTATTTTTATTTTTTTTACTGCATTTTTGATCAAATAGATGCCGACTTGGTGAGAATAATTCAAAAACATTTAAAAATCTTACCGACCCAAAACAGTTTTGTATAAAGTACAGATATTTACATCATTGTTGAATAACACAATGTGAGGAGACTGTGTATATTTGGCCTGATTGTATTAAATCCAGTAAAAATGCTTGTTTTTCTGTATATACTGAATTTGTGACTTATTCTTTAGTTCCATGTTGATTTGCTGTAGGATTCCAAGCTAACTGTTATCATTGTATAGTGTCAGATCTAAAGATCAGTGAGTTTAATGGTGAATAGTGACTGTGGTTTGTCTTTCCAGGATCTGAATGTGGATGAGTTCGAGGAGATGTTTAAGACGAAAGCACAGGGGCCTGCCATAGACGTCACCTCCAGCAAACAGAAGACCTCTCAGAAAGGACCAAATAAAATCTCGCTGCTGGACTCCAACAGAGCTAAAAACCTGGCCATCACGCTCAGAAAAGTGGGCAAGACATCAGAGGAGATCTGCAGAGCCATTCAAATGTAATTCACAGAGTATATACAGTGGAAATGATCACCAACATCTCTTGATTTGCGCCCTAGAAACAGTTTAAAGGAGACATATTATGCCCCTTTTTACAATACGTAATATAAGTCTCTGGTGTCCCCAGAATGTGTCTGTGAAGTTTCAGCTCAAAATACTCCAAAGATCATTTATTATATCATTTTGAAAATGCCTATTTTGAGTGGAAGCAGAAACAAGCTGTTTTTCGTGCCTGTCTCTTTAAATGCAAATGAGCTGCCGCTCCCCGCCCCCTTTTCCAGAACAGAGCTGCGCCATTACAGCTCAGACCAGGCCTGCTAAAAAACATGTTTTGGTTCTGATTATCATGTTTAACGCGCTGAAATCATGAGTTTTAAACCATATCAGTTTAAACTTCAGATATAAGTTTTTCTGAGCGCACACATCCGAAGCACAC